TTATAATAATGTTTTCATTCTGGATTCTCAAAACAACAGAAAAAAAAGGCGCCGCGCATATCGCATATCTTAAAAATTTGACTTAAATTGGAGTTAAAAATTGTTTAGAGTATTTGAGCACAATCTTTTGGTGCTTAAACAACTATAATAAGATATATTGAAAGAAACTATTCTAAAAAGACATTAGAGAATTTCATGATTTTTAAAGCTAAAAACCACAAAATGGATATTAAATGATATTTAAAAATTTCTATATTTTAATGTTTATCCTATTTCTATTGATAAGTAGTCAGGAAATCTCAAAAAAATGCATTTGTGGACATGTTTTTATTTAAACTCAATGCGAAAACTCTGGTTTTTGCATCTGGAAAAATGGGGTTTGCTTTTTAAACTATGGTCGAGCATACATTTCAGAGAATTAGGATGAGAGCACATGCAAAAATTTCGCCGAAGAAGACTGTAGAATATAGAAGTAATGTGGTTTTCATTAGGGCAATTGTATAAGCTTTGTTGACTGCATCGTATTCAACAAAGATTAATGCTAACAATCTTCCTATAGATGTGTTTCTGATGGGAAAAAGTGTGTTGAAATGTTGGAATGTAACAAATACAAAACAGAGTTAGGATGTGCAAATAAGAATTAAAAGGGACTTTACTGTTTTTGGGTTTAGGAGATGGAAAATAAATGTCGAGAAGTTGCTGTGTGTGAAGAACTTCCATATTATTTAGTTAGTCATATGATGTGTAAATAAGGTCTAGATGGTTGTACTGTAAATGAATAGGGCTATGGATGTATTAAATAAAAAGATTAATGCACTAAATACATATATGATTTTTAATGCTTTGAAAGTTATAAACAAATCATAAAACTGCTTTTGGGATTTAAAAAATAACAAATGTGTTGAGAAAGTATGCGAAAATCTACCTTTTTTTAAGATTATGAGTGAAAATCATATTTAAGTGAATGTACTTCAAATGGAATTCATTGTATATAAAGAGAGTAATGTAGCGATGCTGAGAATAAATATTGGTTGTGTTACAGATTCTTAGGGAAATAAATGTGAATATCATAAAAATTAATGTAAAATCAAAAGCTGTGAGACTGCTTCGGATTCACTTAAAAATTATCAATAATGCTAGGATTATGACAATTTGTTAGATTGTGTTACCTCTGAAAATGGAGGATGTAAATAAAGACCTTAAAAATGTGAAGGTTATGTTGATTAAGTAGATTGTTACTCAATTCAATAAGAGGATTGTATATGGTATAAAAATAACTGTGCAAAAAGGGAATGCTTTTATGCTCCACTTTATTATAGTCATTAAGATTGTAAGAAATATGGAAATTGTATAGGCAAAGCAGGTGGTGGATGTTAATAGACACCACAAGTTTGTGATGAGATTTTATAAGAATAATTTTGTGAAATTGATTATAATAAATAAATTTGTTTTTGGCTTGAAGGAATATGCACATTGTTTGAATGTAGTTTATTGAAATTGCCAGCTTACAAAAGTCATAAAACATGTTAAGAGGCAAATTCAAATTGCACATTTAATATTGATACTTTGGGTTGTTAAGATTATTTATGTGAAAATATCTAAGAAATCGAATTTTTCAAAATTGATTCAAAAGGGAGGATATGCTCTATCAATGAAGGATGTATAGACAAAAAATGTTTAACTGCTCCACCAAATTATGAAAGTAATTCAAAATGCGAAGAATGGTTACCATATTGCACAGTTAATGTGTAAGAATTATCAAATTCAATAGTATTAATTGGATGTGTTGATAAAAAAAAGGAATGCTAATTTGCTCTTAAAGAATAATGTCATTCTACGTTTTCAGGAATTAAATGTAAATGGGATAATGTAGGTAAAAAGTGCGTTTCTCAAATTTGCACTGATGCTGATCCTAACATATTCTTAACAAATACAGATTGCAACTCATATAAAGTAGTGGAGGGTACTTGCATAATAGGAACCCCTGGTTTTGGATGTCAACTATGGTCGACTAGTTGCAATGATTTGATAAGTTAATAATAGTGTGAATTAAGTCTTTAAGACGGAACCAAATGTTTTTGGACTGGTAGTTTATGTAAAATATTAGAATGTAAAGATGCTTCTATAATTAATTATACAAATAATATTGAATGTAATACTTGGCTTGATTATTGTATTTATAATTCAACATTAGGAGGATGCATGGATAGACCAAGTTCTGTTGCTTGTACATCCTGTCCAAATGATATGATGTATGATACTCACATTGAATGCTAAGCATGGAATCCTAAAGGCACTGTCATTTCCTCTTTTAATCCAGAAGGTTGTGAATTAAAAAAGGCAAATTGCTCTGATTACATCAGACAAAGAAATTGCATAACTAATTTTGCAGGTTAGCTATGTTATTGGGATGATAAATTACAAAAATGCATGGGAGAGAATGGTGATACAGATTGTAGCAAGAGAGTTTATGGAGATCTAACACATTAGAATTGTGAAAACTTTCTATAAAAATGTACAATATTCGATATTGGTAATAGAACTTGTGTATCACTTTCAGGTATGTGTAATTATAATTTGGAATAAAAATGTGTAATCACAAAAAAATGGTAACCCTGCAAATGGGATTTAAAAAATAGAATTGTAAAGATGTAATTTGTAGTGATAATATGACTGCTAAAACTGAAGCTGAATGTTTAAATTTTAGAAAATTAAACTAGTGTCAATTAAAGATTTAATCTAACGGGACTTTTGGACCAGGATGTGAGGATAGACCGGCAAATTGTAATGTGATTACAAATCCTGTAATATGTAAATTAACTTTAACGCTCTCAAATGCAAAATGCTATTATTTTAATTCTAAATGTTAGTCTGTACCATCTCATTAGTGTGAGGTTATTCAAGATAGTAAA